GAGACCCCCAAGAAGTCTCAAGAGAGGATTTCCGAAGCACTCACGATGCTCAAGGACGGACCTGGGCCCACCAAAATGACCCCAAGACGACGCAAGAGGCCTCCAAAAAACCGCCAAGACGCATCCGAGGAGACTCCAAAAGGCATGTCAGAAGTTTCTGGCTCTTCGGGTCGCCCTCCTCATCCTCCTCCGCTGCCTCCTCCTCCTTTTCCTCCTCCTCCTCCTCCGACGACGACGATTCCTCCATCCTCCCCCTCTTGGGGTATATGACAGTTTCCCCCGCAATTTGTTCTTCTGTATGCTCCCCCGCTTCCCTGATCATCTCAACTCCCCTGGGCAACGTTTCTGGGTGGGCTGGTGGGGATACGCGAAGCGTCAACACTTGTTAGTTCTTTAGCATGGTGTTCCGGCTGCACCGTATCGGTGAGAAGACGAAATAATGCAAGTCATGTGTGACCACATGCGGCTGCACCTACATTGCGACACCACCACGGAGCGCAACCTCCTTACATGTCAATGTTGGCCAGGATTTGGCACCCAAGGACTGGGAGGGCAACATAACGCAAGTCAGCGTTGAAATGTGGCACAGTGAACCCGTATCACCAGGATGCGCAGGAAAGGTGCAAGGGCCTTGGAGGCCCATGTTCACGTTTTCCGAACGAGGCTGGCCAGCGAAAATCGCTAAGGATGGGCCGAAGGGGCAAGGATGCAAGGGTACCCTTGGGAAGGTTGCCCATCCTATCTGCGCGGGCTAACTGTATGGGGGATGCTGCGACACGGAGTTGCTTCCGATCGCAACACGACTGGGGCAGTTCCCACAGTTAGTACTGCGATCTGCACCGTGGCAAAACACACGCGCAGCAGTTGCATGACGCGCATCGCCTGCTATGCCAAATACAGCATTGCCAGAGACAATATACGGATTAGTCGACTCTTGTAGGATTGACAACGGGGTTATCAAGAGCCCAGCAGCCCACGTAAACAAGCACAAATTCACAACTACAATCACAAATCGGTCAGGCTCCGCTCCTGCCTGAAAATTGGCGCCGCCTGAATCCAATGAAAGTGATCCTGCCGAAATAAACGACGCCCAAAACAAGGCACCACACATAAGCAATAATGCTGGCAGGGACGACGCACGTAGCCATCCCTGGGAAAGCGATACACTGGCCCAGCGCCGACACAACTTGATAAAGATAGATCTGCTCTCCAAATGCATTGGCCAAAATGTCCACGGACGGCGATGAGCCAATGATTCATGCAATCGCAAGCGCGCATTCTCGCGCTCCTGAGAAACGTGCCGCCTGGTTGTCTATATATATATATATATACACAAGACTGCATTGGCGCTTCGCGCCATGCACCTTGTTCCTTGTAGCTTCGAATGCAGGCGGCGTGCGTGCGCGTGGACATGGGGCGGGCCACCGCCAAGTCGGAATGGGCGAGGAATTCCTGAGCGGGAGCGACCAGACAACACCAGCTGACGTCATCTCAGGGCGTTTCGGGGCTCAGAGGCGCGAGTATGTCTCAAGCGAGTCGTTGGGCTAGCATGAAGCAGGGCATCCTCCTCCTCTTTCTCCCCCTCTCCCTTTTCCTCCTCCTGTTTCTCCTCCTCGTCCTCATCCTCCTTCTCCTCTCCCCCTCGTCCTCTAATTCCTCGTCCTTCTCCTCCTTCTCCTCTACCTCTTCCTCATCCTTCTCTTCCTCCACCTCCTACAGAACATGTTCTTTTCGGCATGCGCGCTGCTGGGCTGCCGGCTTCGAGCCCCACAAAGGCCCAAGGCTGGCCGAAGAAGGCCCAAAGAGTTGAAATCCAATGAAAACCCATTGGGAAATCTGTGTTGTTGGCCTTGTCGCCTTTTCGCTTGCGATCGGCTCTTGAGGCGCCAAGATAGCCCCAGGACGGCTCCAAATGAATCCCCAGACGAGCCCCAAACAGGCCCAAGGCTGGCCGAAGAATGCCCAGATAATTAAAATTCAATGAAAAACCATTGGGGAAAAAACCCTGTTTTTGGTCTTCTCGCCTTTTCGCTTGCGATCGGCTCTTGAGGCGTCCTGATAGCCCTAGGACGGCTCCAAATGAGTCCCAAGACGAGCCCCAAAGAGGCCCAAGGCTGGCCGAAGAATGCCCGGATAATTGAAAATCAATGAAAACCCATCGGAAAAACAATGTTGTTGGTTGTCTCGCCTTTTCGTTTCCCATTGGTTCTTGAGGCATCAAGATAAGCCCAGGACGGCTCCAAATGAGTTCCCGGACGAGCCCCAAAGAGGGCACAGACTGGCCCCCTGGAGGGCCTGGAGGCTCGAAAATCCATGTAAAAACCGATTGGGAAAACAATGGTTTCGGTCTTCTCGCCTTTTCGCTTCCGGTCGGCTCGGGAGGCGTCAAGATAGCCCTAACATGGATCCAGAGAGGCGCAAGCCGAGGCCAACAAGGGCCCAAAGCTGGCCGAAGAAGGCCGAAATAATTGAAAATCAATGGAAACCAAATGAGAAAGCAATGTTTTTTGTCTTCTCGCCTTTTCGCTTACCGTCGGCTCTTGAGGCGTCAAGATAGCCCCAGGACGGCTCCAAATGAGTCCCCAGACGGGCCGCAAAGAGGGCACAGACTGGCCCCCTGGAGGGCCTGAAGGTTCATCCATGTAAAAACCGATTGTAGAAGCAATATGTTCGGTCTTCTCGCCTTTTCGCTTGCGATCGGCTCTTGAGGCGTCCAAGAGAGCCCCAGGACGGCTCCACATGAGTCTCCAGACGGGCCCCAAAGAGGCCCAAGGCTGGCCGAAGAATACCTAGAGAATTGTAAATCAATGAAAACCCATTGGAAAAACATGTTTGGGAGTCTTCTCGCCTTTTCGTTTCCCATTGGTTCTTGAGGCATCAAGATAAGCCCAGGACGGCTCCAAATGGGCCCCACACGAGCCCCAAAGAGGGCACAGACTGGCCCAAGAGGGCCCAGAGAGTCGAAAATCAGAGAAAACCAAAAGCCCAAGACAAGCCCGAGGATTCGAAATTCGTTTTTTGGGGGGTCAGGGGGGGGCGCTCTTTCCCGGGCCCCGCTCCTTATATATGTGTAGGTATGTATACACATATATATATATGTATGTATATGTATATATGTAGATATGTATACAAAGATATTTTATTATATATAAATATGTGAATGAATGAGAATATGCGTGTGTATATATATGTATCGGCCGCATCCTCGTGACCTTGAGCAGCTCACACGTGCAAGTCTCCTGTTGTGCTGCGCCGTAGAGAATTAAGTGGTGCTGTTCGACGCAGTGCGATGCAGATCTATGCTGTGACGATTCGGTGGCGCGACGAGGGGGGACGTGAGACGGAGAATGCCTTCTCAGAAGGCCCTGAAGTCCTCAGGCCTTCTGAAAGGTTTTCTGAGCCCTCCCCGAAGACACCAAAGACTTCTCAGAAGGCCGGGGGGCTTCTGAAAAGCCCCGCCGCCTTCTGAGAAGGGCTCCTCCTTCTCCCCCCCCCCTCCCTCGCCGCCGAGAGGGGGGTGGTTTTTTGAATTCAAAAGCCCCGCCGCCTTCTGAGAAGGGCTCCTCCTTCTCACTCCCCCAACCCCCCCTCGCTCGCCGCCGAGAGGGGGGAAGCGGGAGGGGGCAGGCCTCCTCACCAGGCAGCGGGGCTTCGGAGGAGGCTTCGGAAGTTTCTCACTGGCCCAGAGGCCTTGCCAGCCCCCCTCCCGCCCTTCCTCCCTGGGCGCGCCACCGACTATTGTGCTGCTGTGCAGGGCTCGAGCTAAACAGTGTTTTTCATTTTCTTGTTGTGTTCGTTAACCCTCGTCCTGTCTTCGTTCCACGTACTGCAAAGCGAACTCAAAACGAAAACGGCCCACGAAATTGCAAAAACACCGTTTACCTCGAGCCCTGCTGTTGTGATTGGGGCCAGGCAGGGGTGCTTTTCCGAGATCATGCAACAAACAAAGACGGCCTCGAACGAATCCGCCAGCCTCCTTGCGGGGCCATCAATCTCCGCGGCTCAGGCTCCCTGCTCCCTGCTCCAATTCCAGACTCCAGCCTCCGATGTTATTACGTCTGATTCGCGCGCCGGATGTCATAGTCCGTTGTAAATTAGACCGTATTCGCGCCCCCGAGGCCATAACCCTTTGTAAAATATACCATATTCGCGTCCCCGAGGCCATAAACCCTGGCAAATTACACTGTGTTCGCGCTGCCGAGACCATTACTCTTTGTAGCTTACACAATCGTCGCGTCTCCGAGGCAATACTCTCCGTAAATTACGTAATATACACCTGGATACCTCAAGTGGTCCCTGTTCGAAGTTCTGACGCTGCTTCACGACGGCGCCCAGGCCTCACAACATAGCTCTTGCACACCCCATTAGT